CTTGGTTCGGCCATCTACTCCTCGTATGTCACAAAGCAAAAGTACGTTTCTACCCATACCTGCTCATCCCCTGCAACTTGTCCATTCTTCCCCTCTTATGCATTACCCTGTCTTCACTGCTCAGTTCAATTTAAACTCTAAATCCTTGGGATAGGGGCCTATTTTGCTTATTTTGCCCTGACAGTACTATAAAAACAACATGTTTTTATAAAAACAATACGCATCTGATTGGCTTAATAGCCATGAATGGACTTTGCACCCAAAGGCCTGCTCTACCAGGTTTCTGGAACGTACCTTCAATCTTTTGCTTGGTACGCCTACAGGTTTCCCCCCACCTGTTGCACATTTCTGCATTGCTCAGGAGCTCATCTGTTCTCTGCCCATGCTCGTTTGGCAGCAAAGTCGGTGGAGAGATGGCTGCTTTACTTTTAATAGTGCTTTCAGAATGCTGCCTGCGTTCAGCTGAGCCTCTAGCAGAACAGACCAGCAAGCATCAATTGTGCTGAGAGTATATTTCCAGGTCAAACCTCACTCCCTCTATTAATTATGTAGCATGCGCTAATCCCAAGGAAACTCTACACCCGCCTTTCAAACACTAGGAATCAGGTAATTTAATCATCACTTGCCAATTGTCTGTTCTTCAAGTCTTTGTTTTTTCTTTTTAAAGATCACCCAGAAGACTGGTTTTAGAAAGAGAGCGAGCGAGCATAAAAGAACAAAGGTGCGGGATGAAATGCTGGCCTTTACACACATCTTCTTTCTGGTTGGAGGAAAAGGGCAGCCTGAAGCAGGGGTGTGGGGGGGAGATGCGCCCCCTCCTATCTGATCAGCAGGGCCTCAGGAGAGCTCGGCAGGAAGGATAGATCCCCCCTCCTTCCAGGCCTGATGCCAACTTGTTTTGCACCCAAGGAAAGCAGCAAACTGAACAAACTCTCACGTCAAAGAGTAAAGAGAACAAAAGACATGGGGAGATGGGAAGAAGGCATCTCGGGAGCAAACTGACTTGCTGCCTCTTCTAATGTCTACTCAGCCTTTGCAAAGCAAGGAAGACTAGGTGGGCTGGATGATGCTCCACAACCAGAAGGAAAATTCACAACACGTCCCGTTGTCTAGACTCTGTCGGGGGAGATGGACAAAGCAGCACTCTGCCTGCGGTGCGAGAATTTCGGGCAGTTACAGAACCAGCCGCAATGCTCACTTTCCCGAGGAAGCCTCAGCTGAGGCAAAGGAGTCTGTTCCTTGATGCTTGACAAAGATGTGTACTGAAGACCAAGTGGCTGCCCCCTCAGCTATCCTCGATGGGGATGTTACTTTGGTTTTGGTCCAGATGAGATGAGTAAATTGTATCTGGAATGTACCACGTTCGACTGTAGAGTATCAGGGGCTTTTCCACATTCTCACTCTCCTCACTTGTGTGTTGCAGGGGGGTGTTGTTGTTGTTGGGGGGGGGGTCTGTTCTGCACGTGTTTTGCTTCCTCTAGTGGTTGATTCAATATTACATCACTTTATACCCAACATAAAAACCTACAGTTTAAATCTGCAGGGACGTATGGCAGACATAACAGAATGCAATATTGAATCAACCACTAGAGGGAGCAAAAACACATACGGAACAGAGGGGGAAAACCCAAAGCAACAGGAACGCACAAGCAAGGAAATGCGGAAAACCCCCAGTACTTCTCAGTGCAAAATACACCTAGCACACAGAACAGGGGCAATCAGATAGAAAGCTTGAATCCTTTCCTCTGACATCTAGGTAAGCTCATCCTTGATCAGAGAACAGGCAGTCATGTGTTAGATGAACCAATGGCCTATCTTGCTATTATCCGGCTTCAGATGTTCATATAACTGATCGAGAAGGGCTATGGCTCAGTAGAACAGCACATGTGCCACATGAAGAAGGGACCGGGTTTGTTCCCTGACATCTTCAGTTAAAGGGGCTTTGGTTGTAGATATTAGGATAGATCTTTTCTCTCCCTGAGCCCCTGACAATGCTGAGCTAAATGGTTTTACCAATGGTTTTACTGGTGTGAGGCTCGTATGTGGTTTGGCCCCTGTACCACAGTCAAAGTGCAGGGTTTCCCAAAACATGGGTTGAGCCTTGTGGGATGACTTAACCCAGAGCCTTCACTGCAGTGAGCCCAAATACCACAGGTGAGATAGAGTTGCCAACCTCCAGGTGGGGGATGGAGATCTCCTGGAACTGATCTGCAGACTACTTATATTGCTTATTTATTATTTATTTAAAACATTTATTCTACTTATCCTGGAGAAAATGGCTGCTTTGGAAAGTGGACTGCATGGCATTCTACCCTAAACCCTACTCTTCCAGCTTCCAGATCTCCAGGTATTTATTTCTTTTTAAAATCTTTTTTATTAAGAAAAAGATGGGACAGCACGATACAAAACAAATGTGACACAAACATATCACATTAAAGATGAACATAACCCATTACCAATATCCTCAGCTTAACCATACTATGGCACCGGTCACATGGGCAGGATATCGCGGGGGGGGGGAGGAGTGGCTAATTGCCCCGGCGCAGTTTGATGCGCGATTACGCGATAGCGGCACACCACGGGTCCTTCCCTCGGCGCCAGCGGGTAAACAAGGGACCAGAGGGGAATACCGCACTCCGGCGCGATCACACCACGGGCGTCTGGAGGCAGCCCATGGGAAACGTTTACTAGTACCTTGGAGGTACTAGTTTTTTAACTCACATTGTCGGCGGTAAGCCACGGTGCGCTCCACTTCCCAGATGTTGGGGTGTGATCGCGCCCGGATAATCCGCCCACCATCCGTGCCTCTCCTGCGGCAACTTTGCCATTTGACCGTGGCCTATAACCGCCTAACCTCTTTACACGTAAACGGTGCATTAAAACGCAAAACATAAAGATATGGTGATTGATTGTGACAAAACTCCAAGTATTTCTGAAACCAGAGTTGGCCAACCCTAGGTGGAGATGATGTGTCCAAGGACCAAAACAGACAGATCCAACATGAAATTCTGAAGGCACCTGGGAGAATAAGAAGCAGTAGTTTAATGAAATCTGAATCATGAGAGGCACTGTACAGGTGCTGTCCAGAATGACAGGAATTCTCAGTTAGCTCATTCCTGACCTCTATGTGTGCCACTCGCCCTTCAGTGGAAACAGTCATTACCTGGGGGAAACTTGGCTGGCACAATCGCTTGCTGCTCTGTCACCTGCTCTACGCCTTCTGGGTTATGTTCGGGTGAGTTCAAAATGGGTGACTTTTCTGCCGTCTCAAAGTTGGATAAGCTAAGTGGAGAAAAAAAGACAGAGAATTTTTTACTGTACATTTCCATAAAGCTTAGTAAGAAGACAGCATTCTCTACCCTTTGGGAAAGAAAATTCCCTTGGCTCAAGAAACACAGACCAGCTCTTGACCAGCTCCTCCAAGGGGTGTGCTTACTGACCTCCCAAAGCAGACTGGAAAGAGGAGCAATCTCATCAATCGTATCTGAGCAAGGAATGGAACCAGCACGGTGTAGTGGTTGGAGTGAGAGACTAGGGAAACCAAAGTCAAGATCCCTGCTCTGCCACGGAAGCTCACTGAGTGACCTTGGTCTGGTCACTTTCTCTCAGCCTCACCTACCATGTTGGGCTGTTGTGAGGGTAAAACGGAGGAGGGGGAAGTGATGCTGCAAGCTGCTTGGGATCCCCAGAGGGGAGGGAAGTGTTATACATATATGTAAGTAATATAAAACAGAAACAATGCTGAGGCAGCAATCAAGGGTGCGACCTCATTTGGAGTACTGTGTGCAATTCTGATCAGCACACCTCAAAAAGGATATTATACCTTTGGGAAAAGCACAGAAAAGGGCAACTAGAATGATAAAAGGGTTGGAACACTTGCCCTATGAAGAAAGGTTAAAATGCTTGGGGCTCTTTAGCTTGGAGAAACAACGATTGAGGGGTGACATGATTGAGGGTTATAAGATTACGCATGGGATAGAGCAGGTCGAGAAAGAGGAACTTTTCTCCCTTTCTCACAATACAAGACCTCGTGGGCACTCCATGGAACTGCTGAGCAGTCGGGTTAGAACAGATAAAAGGAAGTCCTTCTTCACCCAAAGAGTGATTAACACATGGAATCCGCTGCCACAGGAGGTGGTGGTGGCTACAAGCATGGACAGCTTCGAGAGGGAATTAGATAAACATATGGAGCAGAGGTCCATCAGTGGCTATTAGCCACAAGGTATAGATAGGGGCTCTGGGGCAAGTGATGCTCTGTCTTCTTAGTGCTTGGGGGGGGGGGCCAACAGTGGGGGGGCTTCTAGTGTCCTGGGCCCACTGGTGGACCTCCTGATGGCACTGGTATTTCTGGCCACTGTGTGATACAGAGTGTTGGACTGGATGGGCCATTGGCGTGATCCAACATTGGCTTCTCTTGTGTTCTTATTAGTTGATGAAATGCCAAGTTCCTCAACTTGGGAGAGGTGATCACCCTATCCTTGGGTATGCCTTGGAGGTGGCTAAAAGAGAAATTCCTTGCCCCAGCTATGACGAAGAATGCAACAAAACAACTGGTGTGTGTGTGTGTGGGGGGGTTTATGCTAATGCTGGTCTCTTTGTAAGTGGCTGTCTCCTACAAAGACTAACTGTGATGGTCCATCCATCCCCCTGGTGGCAAAGCGAAGCCCCACAGGACTTAGAGCTCAGTGGTATCAGGAGCCCTGCAGCTTCTTGATGCCCCTGAACAGATGTGCCTGTTGCGGACCATGTGGTCCTTTCCAATCAAGGCTAAATCAGAGCCAAATTTTTCACAGCCAGCATTGCTACACAAAAAGGGATGAGGACATGACCAAAATGTTTTTCGAAACATTCTCCTTTGCTTGTATCATTTGTCCCTTCACACTGCTACTCTGGGCATTTGCTTTGGCATGAAGGGTCTCTCTTCCCACAGCTATATGATTCAGTCAATCAAGTATCATGGTAGCATGGCACCAAACTGCAAATCAGATCTGGCTGTATGATAAAATCACAAAGTTAAGTCAAAGCAAGGACAATGCTCCCTGTGTTCATTCTGAAGTGGAGAATGTCTTCTACTGCATGGAGACCACACGGACACAACCTCCCATTGACGGGGATCTTTCTATTATTTTAATGGTATATTACCCTTAAATCCTGAAACTCAAAGTGGCAGACACAGCATTCCCTGCAGCCCTCCCATAGGAACACAGACCCAATTCAAACCCACTCAGGTTTGTCTTCCGGTGACACCCTGTGATCCTGGCTTATTTGTCACCCAGATCTATCAGCTTGAGAGTCTGCAGTCAGAGGGCACAGAGTCAATGATCCGCAGCATCCGGGAATGTGCTAAGAGTCCAGGATCAGCATGTCCTGTAGGATTCCTAAATGGCTGAAAAACGATGGTCAGTAAAAAACTAGCTGTGTGGTCGGAGTCCGCAGGCTGACTCTCCATCCCTTTCTCGATCTTTTATTTAGAGTACAAATGCTACAATACACCTTGAACTCTAAGACCAGGAATGGGCTGTCGGCTGGAATTGCTGTTTGCGAAGATAAACAATGCACTTACCTTTGGGCAAATTCGTAAAGTTTAGTCCTTTCATCATCTAATGACTCTCCTGCAAAAAGGGAAAGATGGATGCCCTTCAAAACAATGTCAAGATGATAGATTGCTCTGTTAACTGAAGTCACATCCATGAACAAAGAGAAAAAGAAGGGACTGGCAAGTGACTGCCAAAGCACAGCAGCTACAAAAGAGGGACTTGCTGCCCAAAGGGTCATCATCGCAGAAAGAATTACAGGGCCTGGGATCCAAAACTGACCGAGAGGTCACCCATAAAAGGCAACACACAGAAATAACTCACAAACGTGTATTACAGCAGTACAAAGTATGAAGGGGGGTTTCCCATGGCAACATCACTATGAATCTTAATCCTATTTCCAAGCTTGGTGAGTGTCAGCATGGACAACCATGGAAGGGAATTTGGAACTGAGGTGGGGTTTCATATGGAAGCAATGGTGGGCAACATAGGCCCCTGCCACACAGGGGGGAAAAACACTGGCAAAGTGAGGCTTTTTAAAGCTGCACCAAAATAGACACGCCGTGGCGGGATCCCACAAATCCCATGAGCCGCGGCGCCGTTGCTCCCGGCACGATCAGATGCCGGGGAGGAAGCCACGTTTGGGAGACTGAGGCAGCCAGTTGCACATGCGCGCGCATGCGCAGTTCGGCCAGGAGCCGGGGATGCACCGGCAGAAGGACGCACCGGCGATCCCACAGCCGCGCTTGCCGCGTCTGTTCAGGTTAGACCTCCTCAGGAGGTGGTTTAGTTTAGATGCAGGTTTTCAGCCAGAAGGGCCGGATCGGGGACGGGTGCGCAACGTTTCCCAGATGTTGAGGTGGGATCGCGCCCGTTTGCTGCGCCCCCGATCCGTCCCTCTCCCGGCCCAAAACCTTTTGTGTGACCGGGGCCATAGTCACTTTGTTCACCTCCCCTTGCTTTAGATGCTTTATTGGGAGAACAGGGTAATCTATTGGGGACTCACACGTTCTCTCAGCAATGATTCCCCCCCCCCAGCAATGATGATCGATTCTTTGCCCTGGCCAACTGCCCATGCCCCGGATATTGGCATAAAAGTTCTCCATGAATGACAGAAGATTTGCTTAAGATAAAAAAAAATGTTTAAGGATATAATTGGGAATCTTAAAACACTGAGCTCTGAAAAAAGCAAATGCCCCAAAGGAGTTCGGCTAGTCCAGCCTTCTGCCCAAATCCAGTAGAAAGTGAAAGCAAGACCACGTCCCCCGGAATGCAGAGGACACACCTCCCCAACACAATTTGTACTCCTCCCCAGTGCCAGAAATAAAGCCTTTACGGCAGGGGTGTCAAACATAAGGCCCGAGGGCTAGAACTGGCCCTTTCAGGGCTCTTATGCGGCCTACGAGCAACTTGTGCAAGGGAGGGAACAGGAGGCTGCTCGAGGATGGGTGGAGTTGACTCCGATCGTGGCTTCAGCATGGCAGAACAACTTCATCTGCAGCAGTAAAACAGAACCCCTTCACTTCAGGGACAGCTTCACTGGGAAGTTGGGAGCCACTCCACTCAATCTGCAGCTCCAGGGATGCTGATCTGCATAACCGCTGGGATTAGTGTTTGTACTTGGGGGGTGCAGACAATGCTCTGTTAGGGCCTGCTGGCAGCCAGCTCCATCACCATATTCAGGGGGGAAAAAACCCCGTGCAACAGCTGTGCTTTGGCCCACGGGAGGGGATTCTTTGACAGTTTCTTCCACACATCAAGGGCCTAGTCCTGCCAATGAGCATGTGACTCGGCGGCGGGACCTCCCTCCCCCCATGGACCACCCAAGCACATGGCCTGGCCCGACACAGTGACATTTATGTCAGATCCAGCCCTCATAACAAATGAGTTCGACACCTCCACTTTATGGAGCCTAATGAGTGAGTAAAAAGAACTCCCCACCCCAGTCCTAGAAGCATGGTGGGGTCTTGCTCCACTTCATGCTGGGGCTTTTGCAGGAGGCAGAAGCACAACAGTTCTCTCCTCCTCACCCCTTGCCCAGTGCCAGAGATGGAGTTGGTGATTGGTTGGATAGACTGTAGCTAGTGGCAGGCCATTCTGCCTAATCAAAAATTGAGGCTTTAAAAAAAATGCAACCTCCCTCATTAGGAGGGCAAAGGATGCTTAAAGAAGATGACAGGAATCACATTTGTAAGCAGGTGGCCCGAAGCCCAATCTGTACCTCCTACAAAACCCTCCTGCACAATGT